TTCAGGGGATGACAAGAGAAGTAGAAGCAGCAGCAACTTTTTAGCTTTTTTTTAGCTCCTATGGAATCAGAGACCCACCCATCCCCTATTCCATCCCAATTCTCTTCCCAACCTAAGGATGCGATGAGAAGAAAAGTGTGGGGAGGGTGGGAAAGAATCTTTCCCTACTAGTCTCTGATTGTACAGAATTGATCCATGGGATTGGAGCCCTGGCAGAGAAAGAACCAGCTTCGGATAGCACCTGTCAGTCTCCCAGCCTCCTGTTTCAACACTTTCCCCCATCTGTCCCACTGACGAGTCAAGTTTTTTTTTTTTTTTTTGCCTTTTTCTTTTGAGATGGGAATATCTATCTTCAGGAAGACTAGTAGACTAGTACTCATGTGGGTATTTTTAAAAATCCCAGCTGACACACTGGCAGATCTTAGAAAGGGTATGGGATGAAGTGGATGCATTCTGATCCATGGCAGAGGAGTTGATGCTGCTCAGAACTGTGCCCCGGGGTCTCTTGCCAGTCATCTGGAAACAGCAAGGAAAGTGGGTGTGGAACGGAGGAACACCTTTATAGCTTCCAGTTCTCCAACCTCACCAATCACTCCATGGATTCAGAGAACTAGCAGCCAAGGCTGTTCTGAATAGCAGCCTTCATCTGCTTGTCTACTGTGTGTAAACCAGCTGGAAAGGAAGCCAGTTTAAGAAATCACTTGTTATCCCCTTCCTCTACTTTGGCCAAAGTAATAACCAGGTGTTATGTCCACTCTGTACTTACTACAGCCTCTCATAGATGGAGTCCCTTTTTTCACTCCTCCCACGTGCCAGGAAAGCAATTGCCATTTTCCTTCTTTCTGCGGGTGGGTCTTACAGGACATATATACTTTTTCAAAAACTTAATGCCATTTACAAAGTTAAAGCAACAGAATGAACATATAAGCACAGCCACCAGCTTTGAAATACATCTTCTTTCTTGCATTTTTCCAGATTTGGCTTTCTGTATCATAATTACACTACTATGAAAATGTGTCATTGCCCTTCTGTTCAAAGGAGGCTGTGTACTCAGGTTAGTGTATATTATGGAGAAGATGAGCACAGGTGGTCAGCTCAGAATGACAAATGGAATATAATTATTTAATCTCACACAGCTATCTTCATCCATTCACACCCTCCACCAATTTGCTGCTAAAGGGATGGATCACAAGATTATATCTGCCTTTGAATTGTTAACACTCCAAAGGCAGAAGGGGCAAGCCATCATTGATATCTGAACAGAATGCAATAGAACCTCTGGCCCTCTCCCCCACTTTTGTTCATTCTGTGATGGAATCTTGTTGTGGACACCTCTGATCCTAAGGGTAAAGAGGAGAATGCTCAGACTCTCAGCCTGCAGTTGAGGGGTCAACAGGCAGTCAGCTGCCTCAAAGTGATGACTCAGGCTCAGCACAGGTGGCTTCTGACTTGGATAACAGAGAGCATGATCCTGACCTAAAAAGAGTGCCAAGTTCCCAAGTAGGCTGCCAGGCAAATAGGGTTGAACAGAGGAGATCTGTACAACTCCTAAAAAGGAGAGGACATCAAGGCAAAGCTAGGAACTCTGGCAATATAAGAGTATCCCCCAGACCTTCCTCCTCTTATTGGAAACAAATTGTAATGGTATGTGGGAATGACCTTGGGAGACTGTCCAGAGATGCTGCCTAGGGAATGGTCAGATAAGAGGCAGTGGATAGTGGGCAGAGCAAGAGACTCAGAAGAGACCCTCCCTAATTTCTCGGGGTGTAAAGGAGATGGGGGAGACTTGTACTTTCAGACTTGCAAGATTCTGTTACTGTAGCTTTACAATAAAGTAGAATTAGCTCACCCAATCATGTTTCCTGTCTGGTCCACCTGGTAAGGCTGACACAAATCTTCTACTTCATGACCTCTTCTCCTTTGGCTTATTGTTCCTGGTTTCTCCTGACTCCTTGCTGTGCAAACAGATTTTTGATTGATGAGCTCTGGACTGGATGTTACAGACTTCATCAGCTCTAAACTAATGGACCACACTTTAACGTCAGACTTGTTCTTCTCAGCTGTTTTCATTCAACAGACAAGAGAATCTCTCTAATTTATAATTCTTCAACTCAAACTGATGTCTCTCTGTTGTGTCAATTGATTTATGACCAAACTAATAAAACAGAAGCATGCTAATTTCTTCCTGATTGTTTGCCACCCAGCCCAATTCAGGGGAAATTCTAATGTTCAGAGCTTATGAATATTTCTGGCTCATTTACGTTATAAGAACTGTGGTTCCTGCTCTCTTCTCCAGTTGTCATCCTTGCATCACACACATCACTCACACCAACAGGACACAGCTTATAATAGTTACTTTTATTTAGTTGGAAATTGTTCAGTTATAGATTATACATATAAAGAAAAATCACACATATAATCCTGAATTTCCTGTCTAATTGTTTCTGCTCAAGAATGATTAAGATAACTGTCTAAAGGCAGTTTACTCCAAATGGAGGTATAAAAAGAGCTGATGATCTTACCATATAGTATATTTTCAATATAATTATTATTCCAAAACAAGAGGTTAACAATAAGCCCAGTAATGTACTTTTGATTTTTATTATATTATATATCCATTATATTAGGAAAGCTCCAGTTTTGAAAACTTTGCTGTTTGACCATTCCATTAAAAAAAGTTTACCACTAACTTTTCAATTTGTTCAAAATATCTGAGTAGAATCAACATGGCTATTGCTCTCAAATAATATATAAATGTTGAAGCCATATTCATCTTCAATACATTTGTTCTTCTCCACAAACTCTTAGATATTTTCATCTACCGCTTGATACCTCCTTTATCTCAGCTATATGGCATGAGATATTTATATCTCTTAAACAAGATAATTTTTTAGGAATAATTACCTGCTGATATTTTATAGAATAAGATAAACAAATCCCAATTTTTACGTACTTTCATAGATACCTTATTGCCAATTGACAAAATATTAGATTTATTCCAATTTCTTGTATATCCACAATATTTACTATATTCTTGTACTATTTTAATTTATTTGTTTATTTATTTGCAGGACTTATATGGCTGCCTATAATGATTTTCGGTGGCTCACAACAATCCATTAAAACGTAACTAAAAACATAAGTACCCTTCTCCCCAGACACCAGACCAAACAGTCTCCCAACTCAGCCCCCATCCTAGTCCAATGCTTGAGAGAAGAGCCAGAAGGCTAAAAGAGTAGGATCCCTTGGATCTCAGGTGGGAGGTCATTCCAGAGGGCTGGGACAGCCACCAAGAAGGCATGCCTCCAAGGTCTCTTCAGGTGGCAACATTTAAGGGAGGGGGTGTGCAACTCACCCACACTATCTAATCTAGTAGGACAAGCAGATACCTACAGGGAGAGGCAGTCCCGCAAGTAAATTGGCCCTGTAGGGCTTTAAAGGTGATAAGCAGCACATTGAACTGCACCTGGAAAGCCACTGAGAACCAGTGCTTTCACAAATTTCACAAATCTGTGGAATTAAACGTTCCAGTTAAATATTAAAGGAGATAATAAAATGTAATTCCATTAGTGATTACCTGAATAAAAGAATTAAAATAATAAATTTAGTCCAAGAAATAAAAATAGCTGGAAATCCATGTTTATTATAATTGTTCCAAAAACTTAATTTTACTATATCAAAGCTTTTTTCCACATCTAGTGAAGCCGCATTAGCTGTTTTATTATTGTCAGAATACAGTGCCATAATATTTACCAGTATTCTGACACTAACAGAGGCCTTATATATTGAGTAGATCAATTTAAACCCACTTCCTTCTGATTCTGGAGCTCAGTTTGATTGTGTTGTGCGTCCATGAACCTCTGCAGAGGACAACATTTTTTATCATGTATGTAAAATTAAAATGGTGGGGAGAGAGATGGAAAACTAGATTTCAGTGATGGACATATCTGTCCTCAATTCAGAGTGATCCAAGTATCATTTTTGAGCTACTGGTCATTGTTTTTTTGTGTCATTCTAAACAGTTGTTCTAAACCATTCTTTTCTGAACTGCCATAGCTAACTAATCTGGTCTTGATGAAGATTGATTTTATTTATTATTTAATCACTTATTAAATTATTTGAATTGTATATCCCCCATGGAACAGATTATTATTGCTGCAAATTTTATCACATTGTATCACAACACAATAACATTTCAGTCTGTCAAAAATGAAAATGTTTTAAACCTAACCCCTTTGCACCAATACTATGAATTTACCGTACTCTATTCCCTTCTAAAAATCTAGTTTGCTGGAATATTTCACTCTGTTATGCTGAGAAATCACAATTTCACTGCAATTGTGTTTTTTCTCATGCTTGATTATAAGTTTTTCACTGAAATTTCACTTCAGATCCAGGCTACAAATTGTATCAGATTATATGCAGATCATCATGGACTAGACTGGGTAATTTTCAGAACTCTATATGAGATCAAATGGTCTTTGCACACCATTAGTTATTTCTCAAAATGCTGCAGTATGCCTTTGAACCATACTTGTGTGATTTAGTTTGGAGCATTTCAGTTCATGTAAGTCTACTTTCCTATTATTTTGATACTCACACTGATCTGGGATTGACGTGAAATCTTGCCAAAGCCAGATAGCTAGCATGCTACCGGAGGCATGTCTTAATACGACCAAAGTTACTCTTCCATATGTAGTGTGTCTTGCTTTATCTGGCTTCGAGCACATTGACCCACTTTGCAAAGCTGCCCAGGATTGATCCAGCCCTACGTGCTCTATAAGACCAAGTCAGTTATCTCAACGACTCTTCACTTCTGATATCATTATCACTAAACTGCAGAACTGAAACCTTTCTAACACATTTGCTGTCTGAAAATTATCAGATTTTTATATTTACTGATAAGTAAAACGTGCAGTGAAAGATAAAATACTGGCTTTGGGGTGTTTTAACAGCTTGCACTGTATGTATATAATAGAGTCGACTGACTTTTAGTTAGAGACTTAAGAAACTTGTGAGGAAAATGCCAAGGGATTATTTTTAAAAGAAGGAAACTGGTTCTTGATTTTTTTTTTTTTTAAGAGAAAATGACTAGGAGTTTTTCAGAATTTGAACAATTCTTCATAAAGAAAAATTACGTTTTTGCTTAAGTGCATTATTTTCAAGTTTTATGCTGTGTCTGAAAAAAAAATCAAGATCACCTGTTAAAAGTTTGTAAACAGGTAAGTCAATTTAAGCTAGAGAAGTGATGGAATTCTTTATTGCATTTATGTGGATAACAAGCAAAACAGTTAGAAAGAAGTAGGAATGTTGCATTAACTTCTGTTAGAATGCACACTTATGAGGTTCGTCTCCGAGCTGGGAATAAACACACAGGCGGTTGCTTGAAGGAGAGAGAAGACTTTATTTCTGAGAGCCAGATACACAAGAGGATCAGCTGTTGGGGCAGCCGCATCGGGGCTTCCCAGGAATCCCCTTTTATAGGGAAGATCCTTAAAAAGTGCAAGGGAAACCTGCCCTCTAGGATTTCTTAGAAAAGGTAATTAGCCGGGATTCCAGGAGAGCGCGCTGGCGGGTGGAATTGACTAGGCTAAGGAGCAATTGACTAGGGAGCGTTCTAAGGTCAGGTACCTACTGAGCTAGGGTTTGCTGTGTTTGCCTTATCTGGTCTTGTCTAACTGGAATGTAGATCTCTTCGGGAAGAAATCTTTTTATGATTGGATTTTTGGGTTTAAGGAATGTTGGCCCTTCCTGCCAAGTCTTTAGTTATTTAATTTTGGGCTAGGGCGGAGGACTCTTGATTCTTTCTGTTAGGTCTTAATCTTTTTAGGTGAGCCCATTCTTACTATAATTTAGCCATATGCTT